GCCGCCCCTTCCCTTCACTCCCGCAGACCTGCTCAGCTCCAGGGAGAAGCTGCGCTTCCATCCCTCCGCAGCCAGGGAGCACGGGAGAGCTGCGGCTGGCGCCGCTTTGAGGGGAAAGCCCGTGGAAGGGGCTCCCGAGTAATTCCCGACGGGACAGCACGGGAGGAATCCCTGCAGCGGATGCACCCTTACACCCTCGCACCCAGCTCACCTCACTGCCGGCGCCCATCGCTGCCCGCTCGGGGCTGGGGCTTGGTGTTCCAGTGTTAGAGGGTGGCTGGTGCGCCCAAACCCCCCCAGTGCCTGCCTCTGCGGGAGGAGCCTCATCCTCTTGGCCGTGCTCCTGGGCTCACGGCTCAGCCTCCTCAGGCCGCAGCACCAGGGACGCCTGTACGCTGGTTTGGCTTCACTTTAGCCCTGCCATGACCAAACAGGAATGCTCCCTCCTTAGAATCATCTTTTGGGTCACCTGCGGGAACAGCTGGCTCAAAACACAGGGCTGTGACAGTCCCCAGGGCCACAGGCTGGTCCCAAGCCCCTTTTCTCTTGCGGGGATGCCCCACAGCACCGTGTGCCCCACCACACAAGACCCACGAGGTGCATTTCCACGTCTTTGCATTGCCACCGGGGAGAGCTGCCTGCAGGCAATCCCTGGCTCCCCATTGGCATGAGCTGCAAACACAGCCCTCCTGCCTAAAATGCTTCTGCCCCATGGGTGTAAGAGCAGCCAGCAGCCTGATCCGCCCCAGGTGGCCTCATGCAAAGCACACCTGGTTGCACTGATTGCTATACATCACACATAAAGCCTCAGCCACTGCCCATCAGTGCTACGGGCTGCAGCCCTGTGTGCTTCCCAGTGAGAGCTACTGGAGGGCTGGATGAGTCCCAGCAGCGTGTGTCATCCCTGTGGTAGGTGATGCTTGGTTTGGGAATGGGGTCTGTGTTTTGGGGGGTGGTAAAAGCCCAGCCTGGGGGGCAGGGGAGGAGACTGCAAGTGCAAAGGGAGGGCAATTGTTACTGCTGCATGGTGGCTCCTGGAAGGGCAGCTGCCTTGGGCCCACCATTGCTGTGCTGAATGGGTGCACAGAGGAGCTGTGGCTGTGCTGTGAGGGCACCTGGGCAGAGCAGTTTGTGCCCAGAGTCAGGGTGAGGGGTGTGCAGTGGCCATGTGCGCCCTATGGGGCTGCAGTGTGGTGTGGAGGAGGGCAGTGGGCCCTGGGGTGCAGCTTGGGGCTTGAGGACAGGAGCAGCCCTGGTGTGGTTTCTGCCCACTGATGCGATGCTGGAGAAGGGCAGAGCAGGGCTGTGATGGGTGCTTCATCTCTCCAGGGGCTTGAGGTTTGCTGGCTGCTGCCTCCTGCAAGGGCTGCTGTACCGTGAGGGAAGCACCCCAGGAACCTGATGATCACCCCCTTTGCTGGGGGTTTGGGTGATGCTGCTCTCAGAACAGGTATTGTGGTGCCTGCCCCACCAGAGCTGGTGCTGCTGCCCATGTGAGGAGCCAGAGAAAGGTGCTCATCACCCCTCTGCCTCTTTTATCCTCCCTTAAAACCCTCCTGGGTTCCTGCCTGCAGGTGCCCTGTGATGTGGATGCCAACAGCCTGCAGGGATGGAGAACTGCTGGAGATCTGCTTGTTCCTCCAGGTGAGGGAAAGAAGGACCTGTTCCCATGATGGTGCTTGGATGAGGGTAAGGCACGGAGGCTTTTCCCAGGGTTCTGTGACTCCACTGAGCTCCAGTTCTTGACATTCCATTTGTGAGAGTTTCTGCTTTAATTTCCTTCCCTGCCTTTCAGAGATGGTTGAATTAGCAGGGAGTCACAGAAACTCTCTCCAAGATAATTATCCCACATCTCTCTAGAGGGTTTGCCACGTGATGGTGTGTCTGCATGGGCGTATTAATAGTATCATAATATTATATATCAGTTCTCATCCCAAAGCACTTCATATGCTGAGGGGCAAAGCCTAAGTAGAAGGATGAGGCAAGTGAAATGGAGCTTTCAGCCTCCCCTCGGGTCCCTCAAAGCCATGGGGTGCAGGAACAGCCTCCTCACTGGTCAGGCACAGAATGAGCTCCCTGCCTCTGGTGCCGCTGCAGACAGCGGTCTGTGTCCTCGCCCTTCCCCGTTCCCCTTAAAGACAAGCTGCATGGGGCTGGCTGTGCTGGTTGTGGGGTGTCAGCAATGGGGAGTCCCCCCCCTGAGGCCGGTCACCGATGGCCTGAGCTGGGATGAACCAGGACCTGCGCTGATCCTGACGGATCCATCCCAGCCTCGCTGGGTGGGTGCCAGCTCCCACTTCTCCAGGGCTGTGTTTGCTTTCGGTCTCTTGCCGTCCTCCTGCATGAGCCTGTGCAATCGGGATTGTTGTGCTGTGCGGTTCAGATGTCCCCAGTTCTGTCTCCAAACATTGCCCTTGCGTTTGGGGCTACGGAGGGTGAGGATCATGGGCGCATTCCCATTGGAATTCCCTCTTGGAGATGTTCTGCCTCCTCCCTGTTGGCAGTCTGTGAAGGGAGGGCAGCCCGAAACCTGCTCTGGGTGGGCAGCGGATGTCACCGAGCTCTGTGCCATTGATGTCTGCAGCCCCTGCTGCACAGAGGGGCTGGATGGGGAAGGAGAGGTCTCCAGCAGAGGATGGTTGGTGCTGGACAAACCTGCTTGTGTAAAGCTGCGTTTGCAAGGAGCCTCCTACAGAGGGGAAGCATCCAAGCAGGGCCGGGTGAGGCCTGGCAGCAACTGCCTGCATGCTCGTACCTGGGGTCAAAGCTACAAGGCTGTGGTTGTTCGTATGAATGAGCAATTGCTTGGAGGCTTTAGACCCCTGCTTGTCTCGGACCAAGGGGAGCCCTGACAAGCCCAGATGGGGTCTCCAGTGTGGTTCCCAACAGGCGGTGGCACTTTGGGGTGTTTCAGGAGCATCCCCGGCAGAGGTCTGCTGTGTATGGGCATGCAGGGCTGAGCCCCCAGCAGTGGGGCTGCTCTCACATGGGGAGCAGGGATAATGTGCGTGGATGAAGTGCAAAACCCACCCGGAGATCCCAGGTGAGGAGGGTTGCTGGTAGGAGTGTGCACAGGGGAAGGGCAGCAGGGCTTCTCCCCTCCCTTGTCTCTGTTTCAGAGGTGCGGGAAGGCTCCTCACCAGCCTCTGCTCCCCTGTAAGGCTTTGGGTTGTTCATCCCTTAAGCAAGCCATGTCCTGGCCCTTGCCTGCCCTCCTCAGGTGATGAAGGTGTGAGTTGGTGTCTGCCGGATGCAGATGAGGGTTGTTTTGATCTGATGAGGTTTCTCCAGGCTACATAAAGAGACTGCATTGCATCCCAGCTGTCCAGCAACAGAATATATTTAACTTAAAAAATAGTAATAATCCACAGTATCAAAACACAGCAAGTCACAAGCCAATACTGGGTGAGACAAACAGGCATCGAATGGTCCTCTCTAACCCTTTGGTTTGGGCTCTGGCACAAAACCAAAAGGTGGGCTCACCATCGGGATGCAGATGGCACAGGTAGGAACGCACACCTATTCCCTGCTTCAGCTGGGAAAATCCTGATACACCCAAGCATGGCCAAACCCAAGGAAAACATGGACAAATACTCCCCTGCCAGCCCATGGAGCAGTGTCTGTTTGTATGAGGTGGGTGAGAAAGGGGGTGCTTGGGGCAGGGATGCCATCACCTCCAGGCAGTACCGATGGAGGCAACCTCCTGCTTTGATCCCAAGCCCAAATGTGCCCATTCCCTTTGACCTGCCTGCAGGAAGCATCCTCAGAGCTGGAAGATGGTTTAAACTACTCCTGCCTTGGTAGTCCTAGAGTGTACGTGAAGCCTTCACATCCCACTGCACAGCTTTGGTGGAGGGGGAAAAGGGGGTGTCGCTTCCCTTTGGATGGTGGGTGGGTGCAGAAGAAGCAGGACTGAATCTTAGCCTGGCTCTAGTTATGCATATGGATGACAAGAGGAGGAAGGATGGCTTGTGGGTGGAACAGGCTCTGGGGGAACTCACTGTCGCTAACCCTGGTTCAGCTGGTGCCATCATCAGCTGGGGTTTTGCAGCGTGCTGGCCCCATGGATGGGTGGATATTGAGTGCCTCTAAGGAAAACCAACTGCAGCGTGGCTTGAAAAGCCATTGTGTGTGTGAGCATGAAGTCAGCCAGACAATACAGGGCTGTGTTATCATGCCATGATTAGCAAGCGTGTGGGAGAAACTATTGCTTTTGACTGGGAGGAATATAAGATCCAGCCAAGCTCACAGCTCTTCTTGTGTCTGGGCTTTAAATGAACTCTTGGTGGTGTCTTCTAGAGGATGCAGTTTGGGATGAATAGTAAAGAATTGCACTGGCTGGAGTGTGTGCATGTATGTGAACTGCAGGGTCACCCCAGAACACGTAGGAGGCAAGGATGGAATAAAACAGCCCCCTGAAGAATGAGACCGTGACTCTTTGGTTTCCTATCCATGGAGCTCAGATACCCCCGCATCGCGGTGCGACTACGACAAGGGGCTGCTTCCAACAGAACTGGAGGATCTTTAACAAAATGTGTGACAGTGGATGCAGGTAGGGAGGAACACAGAAAGGTTTGGGCTGGAAAGGGCCTTAAGATCATCCAGTTCCACCCCCCTGCCATAGGCAACCCCTTGTTTCAGGAAGCACAGGATGTGGCACAGAGGGAGGCACCTCCTGTGTCCAACACCCTACTAAATGGCACACAGCCCCATTGACCTTCCTGACTCCGATTGCCAGGCACATCTGAGTGATGCTGACCCTCTGCCTTAGCACCTTTTCCATGATAAGTGTGCATTTGGGCAACCCCATCGGACTCGGGCGAATCAAAAATGCATGGAAATGGTTGGGTTGACCCAGAATGAAACTGGTTTACAACTGGCCACACAGTTCAAAAACACATTTGGCTTGGTTCCTACCTGGGATTGCTTTCCAATGCCTGGTACATCAGCTGCTCAGCCTGGCTGGGTTCAGGTACCAAGGAACTATTTCATTAAAACCCTTCTTTTCTTTTGAGGCTTTCACAATTGGGAAAGAGCAGCAGAAAACACTGTGCTGTTGGCAGACGGGGGTGAAGCAACTGCATTTATTCTTCATTACCCACTATCACTCTTTTTAGCTGTAAAACTTGCATCGAAAACATCTATATTTATAAAGCAGATGATGCTGCTGCGATTGCCGGGTGCCTTCAGCCAGACCAAGCGTTCACAGGCTGTGACCTCTTGCTGTGCCAGCAAGGAGACAGGGGCTGGTTGGTGGTGGTGGTGATGTGGCACTGGTGGGAGGTCATGGCAGGGCTCCTGCAAGTGGGAGGCGAGTTATCCGGTGTTGGTGGGTGTCCTGGAGGAGGTGACCTTTCCCTATGGTGCTCCAGAAAGAGGCATGAAAGCGCTGGGTGGTGAATTTGGCCCTAAAGAGAAACACAGGTATTGGTGATGGAGAGGAAAGCTCCAGATTAGCGCTCCTACCTGTGTCTTCACTGCGTGGCTCTTCTCACCAGGCAACCTGAGATGTCCTTGCTCACTGCAGGGGGTTTGGACTGAACGAGCTTCGAAGGTCCCTTCCGACCCAAACTAATCCATGCATTGTAAGCACCATGCATGTAACTCCAGCTTGCTGCCAGCTTCCACATCATGGGCTCCTTGAGGGGATGGGCTCTACCCGGTCTGTCCCTGGCACAAAGCTCTGGTCTCTTATGAGAGGAGGAAAAACCAGTTGCAGTTGGGATGTGTGTGGTATTAGGGATGGGAATGAGCAGAGCTCCTTTTTGACCACAAAGAAAGGCTTGAAATCCCTCCTGCAGCTCAGCCTCTGAGCTCACTGCAGCACAACTCCCCACAGCTTGCCACAAGACCTGAAACCAGGCTGAGGGGCTTGCTGTTGTCTCAGAGTGAGCTGCTCTTCACCCCTGGGCTCAGGGGCTGGTTTTAATCAGGACTATTGCAGAAGTTTTTATTAGCATTATCACTGCAGCAGGGCAGCTTTGGGGAAAACACAGTTTGGTGCCTGCTTCCTGTAGCAAGGTCAAGCTATGAAGTTGCTCCTGTCCTAAAGCAGAGAGTGGGAATCTGTCTGGTGCTAATTAAAATCCATCAAGCAAATCCCCACGACAGGCAGAAATAAGGCCTTTCATCCTGGCTGTTCATTTGACAGATGTCGGAGCCTCTGAATGTTGGCTGTTTGCTTGGCTTCACCAATTTGGTAGGTCAAAAATAAGGTATTTTTATAGACCCTGAAGGTAAATGATTAATCCCACACCTATCCTGCACAGGGCTGCTGGTGCCAAACTCTCTTATGCAATAGATGTGGGCAGCACACAGGCATAACTGAAGCAATGCTCTCTGGAGACCTCTGGCCCTCCTGAATAGGGCAGCATTTCCATACAAGCCCTCCTCCACTAATCCAGTTCTCCCATCCTCACTAGAGCACTGGGACAGACAGCACCAAACACAGCCCGAAAGGCCAGCAAAACCCTGGAGATGCTGACAAGGAGCTAATCCTACCCCTTCTTCTTCCTATGGGACCTCTTGTATAGGTGCTGGCTCTGATGCCTGTACATCTGATGCCATAGGAGATGTGACTTCTGGCGGTTTAATGCCCAGCTTGTTTAATCCTCCTCAATCTGAGGCTTCCTGCACTCCTTGTCCACCGGGCATTTAAATCCATCTTCTAATGTGAATCCATCACATGTGAAGGATGTGAATCCATCTGCACAGGCAGCAGAACAAGTTGTTCTTAAGCCATGTTGGGCTGCTCATATTTCCAAGCTTCTAAGCCCAGAGGCTTTGCTTGGTTTCTTCCCAACACCTCTACCAGCTAGCCTAGGGAAACCCGCCAGCCACATCTGCAGAGGCTCCTGCACATCTGTCCTGAGACCACAGCACAACTGACTTGATGCTCCGGTGCCACCTGCAGTTAGCACTTGAAGCAGCCATTCTGCTTTGGCAGATGCGAGGGGTACCCATTGCTCTTGGTCATTGTACTCACTGCAATGAGGAGTTGCTTGGGTGGCTTAATAACCACTTGTAAACCTCAAAAAAGAGTTCTCACCCAGCACAGCAGCAGCTTGGGAAGGTGTTTTCCAACTACTGAGCTCCTGTTTGCTTCTGGTTATGATTCTCTTTACCCCTTGTGGGGGAAATGAAGGAGCAGGGCTTTTTCTGTCTCACGGTAAAATGATGCAGCTCAATTCATAACACCTGTACAGTCCTGCAAGCCACAGAACTGCAAGTGCTACAGCACAGGTCACTGAGCAGCCACCTCTTAACCAGTCCTTTTGGTAGAAATGGCCAAAGAGAGGAGGAATTACTGAATATAACAAGCAGAAATCCTTTTGGTGACTGCTGTGGCAATGGCAGTCTTGAGGAGCTCATCCCTGGGCTTTAACACAGACGCTGGATGGCTCTCGGCTTCCATCTTTCCAACACTGACCTACTAAGAGTTGATTGCTCTCAAAGTGCTGCTGTCTTGCAAGGCAAGGTAACCCTGCCACGCCGTGGTGCAATGTGTGTCAGGATAAGTGTGCTGCTTTTCCTTTTGAGCACTTCCAGCGCTGGGGTAACAAGAAGCACTGACTGGTGCTTGTCTCCCAGTGAAACCTGCCTCTCTGCTGCCTGTGTGTGTGGCTTTCATCTCCCTAAAAGCTGGTATTATTTCATCTATCTTCCTCTACGGTTACAACCGAGCAGCTCTCCTGCCTGCATCATGTTATAGATCTTTGCTTTCTGTGGAGCAGCCCCAAAAGCTGAGCTCAGCACCCCCATTTGGGTACAGGGTAGTTGCTAAATACCTATTTCTGGCTGGTCAACGTAGCAGCATGAGCCGCTGCTGAGGGTGTGAGGCAAAAGAAATGCAGCCTGAGTTATTGCTGTAGTCTTGCTTTGGAGGCTGTTAATCTACTGCTCATGGATGTTTCTCAGCTGCAGTGATCTGTCTATCACCTACAGTGGCAGGGGATCACTGTTAATATGTGGCCAGGACCCTCCCCAAGCGAGAGCAGCAGTCTGGCTTTGCCCTCTTGCATCAGAGCTCTTCTGCCACCTCTTCGGAGCGGAAAAGCAGCCATGTCCCCCTTGGCTGATCTCTGGCCCTGCCTAAACACCCAGCCAGGATCAGGGCAGTCACTGCCTGGATGCCCTACCCCACCTGGCCACGGGCCTTCCAACCAGGACTGCTGCTGAGACTTGGTTAGAGCCAGGTCCTGATACTTGAGCTCTGGATACTTACCTTGGAGAAGCAGAGCAGGGATGCCGCTTCAGCCAGGAACACATGCTGGGCTGTGATGGGATCTGTTTCCAAAGCATGGAGACACTGCCACCAAGTCTCTTTCAGAGGGAGGGGAGAAAAAGTCTTTCTTGGCTCCCCCAGTACTGTTCTACAATAGAAGCCTTTGGCAAGGTCCCTTGCTAGATAAAGGCCCCCTGGGGCTGGTGGGAGGTCTGGTCATCACATAGTGCCAGTGGATGGAAGCAGGGGATGGCCTCAGTCCCTTCATCAGTACAGCATGATTTACAGCAAGCACGTTTCTCAAGACATCTGCACAGACAGAGCTTCACTGAGCATCATATACACACAGTGAGCAGGGGAGGCTGGGCTGAGCCCTCTGCTACCACGAAGCAGTCAAGGATGGACTCTCAGGGTGGGGGAGTACAACTGGTTTGCTTTTATATACTGTAGACATTATCTCTTAACAGCTCCTTGGCTTTTGATGTCTGCAGCCAGTTTCCTTTAACAGTGAGCATAAAAAGGAGGCAAAACATCTTCAGCTACTTCCTCCTGGGAGGAGAGAGAAAGCAGCACCTCCAGCCCCTTTGCCAAGGGTGTTTCCTTCTCCTGGTACCATCCTTCTCCTCCACATCAGTCGTCCATCGTGTGCTACGTTCTACCCCACGCCGTGCTTGCCCCATCTCTGCTGCTCAATGGGATCAGTGCAAGTCTCTGTCGGCTGCTCTGCACCTCCGCTCTGCTGGGTGGGCAGATGGACCAGGTTCAGACAGAAGGAAACAAAACAAAAGGGAGAAGAAGAAGAAAGACAAAGGGTAATGAAAAGGTCCGTGGCCCACAGCTGCCAAAGGAAATCTCTCGCCGTGTCTCTCTGACCATACTTGTCCCAGCCACTACAGCTGCTGTGGGATCCCCTGTTCCTTGTAGCCTGTGAGGAGGGAGGGGAAGGGAACATGATTAGTGTTAATCCCTAACAAGAACCCTCAAGTGAGCCTGGTTTACCAGGAGTGGCAAACTACATGGGAAAACAGGGGCACTGCCCTGGCCAGGTTCAGCCCTGCTTGCCCCATGCAGCCATAGGGTGCAACCACCCATGGGGTGCAACCACCTTCCTGGGCACAGGAAGGCAGGCAGCCTTGCTGCTCAGGTGCCTGGTGCCACCAGCTCCAGCATGGGCAGAGGCACATCTGCTCGAGGATGCTGTAAAGGCTCGGGAGGTACTGGTGGCCACTAACTCCAGTCCAGCCCAGTAACATAAAGCCTTTATGGAATGTTTTTCTGCAGCAGAGGGGAAATGGATGCCTTATTTACTGCTCCAGACACGGCCATTCCCTACTGCTGACCTGGCAGCCCGGTGGCTGTGCATCCGACACGCATATCTATTAATGATCTATGTCAGAACCTTGTCCTTCCAGAGGAGTGCCAGGTAGGAGGAGGCTGGTTTCCCCTTATCTACCTTTCTGTTCCTGTGCTGCCTTTTGCTAGCAGAGCTCTCCAGCAGCAATCAGTCTGTGGAGGTGAACAAACATCTCCTGCAGGAGAAGGGGGATGCCTTTAATCACAGGCTGATGTGTCAGAGTTCAACCATGGACCGCAGCATGCCTCTGTGGGCCCTTTCATTAATGATGCTCTCCTCCCTTGTTCTGCGCTTGCTTTGCTCCAGCCTAGCAGAACTACAGGTGCTTTTGTTGGGGCACAGAAGCCATCGGGTGGAACTGGAGAAAACTAAGGTGTATCAGCAACAAAGCCAATGGCACTGGAAAACTGCCTGGATGCTGCCTCCTTCCCAACCCCTCCTCTTCCCATGGCCATGAGGTTTAATGCATCTCCCAACCAAGGCAGCAGAGCCCTGGGTTCTGGGGCCACACTTTATGGGTTATCCCATATATAGTGGTTGAGGGGAGTTTGCAAACCCCATAGGGATGTCCCCATAGAGGCGCTGCTTTCCCCTGTGGGGAATAAGGCCAGGAAGCGCAATAGGAGAGCACCCACAGCTCTTGTGCAGACACAGGATAAGGAGAAGTATATGGGGTTTTTCAACACTTTGCTATGACTGCACCTGAAGCTTCACCTGCTTTCTCTTCAACAGAAGCTGGGATTGTCACTACAGTAGTCTCAATGCACAACACCTCCCTTTTAAAGGAGGAAACAAACCATCCTTACCTTCGCTGCAGCGCAGATCTTTTCATCTAGAAACCTTTAAAAACTCAGAGGTTTTCTTTGTTTAAACAACATAAGCAGCCTGTCAGTTTTATACCCCACCTTTCAACTGAGTCTGAGATTTCACATCTCACGGAGCTCTTCAAGCACCTTTCCATCAATGCTTTTTAATCTTTCTTTCCAGCCCTTATGTCAGGCTTTTGTAAGCCCCTTAAAGCTGAACACAAAATAGCAGCAGGTACCACAACCTCTGTCCTTAAGGGATTTTTTGCTGAACTAAGAACTGGCCCTGGCAAATGAACTTTGTGCTGTGGAAAAGTCCATGCATTCACCCAGCCTGAGCAGCCTGGATCTCCCGCTGCTAAACGAGCACAAGGAATAGAGAAGGAGATTAATGACACTTCTCAGCATGCATTACCCTGCACTGCCTTGCTGTCCATCATGTGCAGCTGAATAGGAAGATTCTCACATCTTTCAAACAGCTTTTTCTAGGGGGAAAAATGAGGGTTTCTTACACATTTATGACCTAAGTGTGAATCAGCTCTGAAAGAAAGATGAGCCGGTTGGAAACCTGGATTATGCACTTGTCCTACAGCACAGGTTTAATTTGTTTAGGGAGCACAGTAACGAAACCACATGGACCAGTGCTAGGCCAATCCTTAGGTAAAGAAACCAAGCTGGGTTATGATTATATTAACTTGCTTGCACAGACATGGCTTTTATTAAGATATAATAGAAATCCTTTCAGTTCTGCCATCAGTTTTTAAGCTGGCTGGAAGCCAGTTGCAGTGGCTGAGCCTGTGTGTCTCTTACATGACCAAAGTAAGCCAAAAGATGACAAAGATGACCTGTCCTAAGCTAAACTTATTAAAATAGTTATAGAACTTATTTAATATAACTTATTAAAATAGTTCAGACTTATTAGTTTATATATGGAAACAGTTACTGCATTTCTTGCATAGGGATAGCTATTCTGTACGAAGCAGCTTCACCTTAGTACACCTGCATTACAGTTGAGGTGCAGTTCTGTAAAGCAGACAGCTCTGGGACGAAGATTAAGCTGGCCTGAGGATCTCTGCTCAAAATTGCTGATTTAATCAAGTTTGCCTGAAATTGCACTTCTTCTGTAAACCACTGCAAGTCAGATTCAATGAGAAGAAACCGCTCTGTGCACCAGCTGTCCCACAGGGACTGGGTTCATGCAGTGGCCTTGGGATGCTCTCAAGGCTGAAACAGGTCTCTGCCCTCCTCCAATGGTGCTATTGGGGCAGCCCAAGGGGCATTTCAGTGCTGGGTGAAGAGCAGGTCCCTGGGGCCGTGTGGCCACAAGACAGATGCAGAGACAGGCGACACACACACGTACAGAGGCACAAGTGGACTTGGGCTGGCAGTGGGCAGCACTGACCAAAATGAATCCCAAACAGCTTGTCCTGGCTGATGCTCGCTGCTGTCCATGGGGAGCTGCCACAGGGCAGGAGAGTAGGAGAAGGAAGAGCAGAAACAAACTTACCTTGTGAAACTTTGATGGTGAACAAAAGGAGGCAAAGGAACATGAAAGAAAGAGAGAGGGAGAAATGTAACTGTAGACAATATATCCGAAACACATGGAGAACCAGAAAAGAACGAATAAATCAGGGCTGCAGAGCAAACGGAGAACAGCTGCTCTACATCAGACACTCACACCAGGGCTGAACACTAAAATCCTTGTAATTGAAGCAGATGGATTCATTTGCGGCTCTTGTTTAAAGAGGATGGAGGAACCCTCATCTGCTTTTCAGCTCACCACTTGCTTGTGCCCACCAGTAATGTACAGCCACAGTGTGCCTCAGCCTGGCTGCATGCTGCAGACCCTGGTGGTATTCCATATCCCTAGGATACTGTCAGAACTCACCCTACCGCAGCATTTGGTAGGTGCTTCTCTCAGGCATGGTTTGGGGAACAGCAATATTTAGATTAAAAAAAGAGAAAAAGTAATGGGTCTAAGTGGGCAATTTGTCCTCAGCATCCCCTTCACCTCATGAAGGGTTACCAGCTGGGTTAGGATGTTGTTCTCCTCAGTGTCTCTCAAGTGCTTTCTGCACCCTTTCCTTCCCAGGGCAGCTGCATTACCTGCACTAGCAGATGCCCTGCAGAGAAGAGAGTCTCAGTGATGCTCTCCGAAGCGCTTTGTAGCCCAAGCGTACTGTAACCATGCAATCATCTGCTGCTGCTTCTGGCAAGCTCTGAGTGCTGTAATTAGCAAAGGAGCGACAAGCAGACAGCAAGATTGCAGGCAATCTATTGCTACTGGCTGGCAATCAGTCCCTGAGAGCCAGATGCCCACTGCAGGAGCAGGGGCTGCAGCAGGACTCCCCGTCCTGTGGTACCACAAGCGATGGCACCTTGGCTCATTCACAAGCCCACACTTGACTCTTCGGCTACATTCATTAGAGGCAAAACAACGCCTGGACAAACAGTCCCGGACTTCTGTCCCCTGTGCCACCCCAGTGTGACATTACTGCATTGATTTCCGTGCTATTTCTGTCAAGAAACGGCACAAACCCTTTTATAACAAGCTCTGTGCAGTAGGGGGGTTCCTGGAAAGGCCATTCCTCTGCCTTCGCTGTGCACAGCGCAGCTAATGAAGACGTGCTGCGTGGGCTGGGGACAAGGTGTGCCATCAGCAGAGGGAACCTTGCCCAGAAAGCCTTAGGAGGCTCATTTTCCAGTTTGTCTTGGCAAGCCAACTAGCTGTTTCACCTCGGCTCCATGCAGCCATGGCAAAGGGGAAGCAAGGGGAGAGTCCCGATTGTTTCGTTCAAAGGAATTCAGTATCTACCTTTGCCTTCGGACAGCGCCTAAAGGAAAGGACAGTTCCCAAAGCCAAATGGTTGCTTGAAGAAGATGCCTGTGGCATTTAATGGGGCCAGCTGGCAATCCATTTAAATTAGCAGAGAAAATGACCCATGCCATCGTGCTGCCAAAAGGAACTAAAGTGTGACAGCAAAACTGCATTCAATTAATCTTCCTTCTGCTAAAGGGCACCTTACAGGAGATGAGGGCTGGATGGGACTCTGTGAGGTCAGTTGATCTCTTCCCATGTCCCGCTTTGCTTGTGACAGATGTGGGTCTACCTGCTGTTGGGGTCTTCCAGTGACAGAGAACAGATCCTGCTGTGTCACCTCTTCAGCATTTTGACCTTACCAGAGGGAAAACGTCTCCTAATTCCACACACATCTTCCCTGCTGTTTAAGTCTGTCTTAGGCTAAACTGCAGCCCTCTCACGTTTACTGCCCTGCTGAACCTCTTCACTGCTTGCTGTCTCCTGGTCCTCTGGACTCTCTCCAAGTCGTCCATGTGCAGTACGGTATCCAAAGCTGGCCATGAGCCTCAACGCATCTTTATGTGTGCTAATAAAGGTGAGGGGACCAGTTAACATCCTACAGGCTCTGCTCCTACCTGCCTCGTGGTGTTTGCTCCCTCCACAGCAACTCACTCTCGTGCAGCTTGCGAACACTGAAATACAAGTTGCTCCCTAATGTGTACTTCTGCACTCGATGATAATCCTTCCTTAGTGTCCTGAGCTTGTCTCCACTGAACAGCATTTATTCATCAGTCCATTTCTTTGATTTGCTTGAATCCATACACTGCCCTCACACATCCATACATAGCCTTGTAGCTGGCTGGCAAGCCCCTTCAGTCCATCACTGAGCCATGAATGAAAACACTGAGCAGAGCTGGATTCAGGAGGCACCTTTCAACACACATCATTGCCTTGTATCGTTCCAGTTCAGGAGCACGCATTTAGAGCACAGTTCTCAAGTGCATTTTCACCTAGGCCACCTCTCCCTGGTCTGTGGGTAGGAGAACGTGTCAGTGCCTGAAAGTCGGGAAGGATGGGTGAGCACCACCACCCAGAATGGATCCCTCTGCCACAGAAGAGGATCAGGACGGTCTGACAGCTTGTTCTGGACAAACACGGGCTTACTTAGTTTCTTCTGATCTTCTTTAAGCATGCAATCACTTGATGGATGCATTTTGATTATTTCTCATAGGAACTGAAGTGTATCAGATTGGCCTGTAATTCTTCTTGTTTTCTTCTCATTAAACACAGCATTATGTTATCCCCAAATCTCTGCCTCGGAGTAAGCTCTCCCTTTAATAGCTGAGAATTAGCACTAGAAGACGAAAGACATCATCAAGCCTTCCTAACTCCCACCCAACTCTCTACCAGCTAACAGACAGGCAGGTCCTGATTCAGAGACTTGGGGATCCATCCTGATTCATCCCCTCAGCAAAAGCTGGAGCATGCCCCTGAGCTCCAGCTGCTTCCCACCCTTCTCCTCACTAATAGCCTCCATCAGCTTAAACAACCACCCCCTGTGCCCTTCTGTAGCCCATCAAAACCATATGATACCCTCTCAGGGATGCCTGGAATTGGCCGTTTCAAGGTGAGGAAGACCAGAGGTGGGCAGTAATTCCATATTTAACCATTTCCCACCTGCACTCAGACTCAAGTTGCAATTGAATTGCAAAAAGGTGTACAATTTCCATCTAGTGCATCAAGTAGTTTGCACACAAACAAAACCCAACCAAAGCAAACTGTTTCCTGGCACTGTTTTTAAATGGAATGTCTTATTTGTTGCATTTGAGAGTTATTACCCTTTTGGGGGGGTTTAACATGAAAACAAAACATGAAAACCCAACCCATGTGGGGTCTGACAGGGTTGCTTGATCCAGCTGGGAGAAATGGATCACTTCTGTTCTTTGATTGAAAAATGAGTTTTTTCCTTTTATTCTTCACCAACCACGAGCTGTTTTACTTAGCCATTATTTTCTCTGCATGGTGAGTAAACTTAAAAACCAGCTATTTAATGAGACAGCAAGAAACTGCCGAGGGCTGCAACTTGTCAGATTATGTATAGCTGGTTAACATAAGACATGTTGACCCCTCTTAACCTTCTCGACTGCCACCAGAGGGGATGGGATGAAATACTGTTGTGGTAGCTGGAGAGGGACTCTTCATCAGGGACTGTGGTGATAAGACAAGGGGTAATGGGTTTAAGTTTAAACAGGGGAAGTTCAGGTTAGATGTAAGGAAGAAGTTCTTTACTGTGAGGCACTGGAATGGGTTGCCCAGGGAAGCTATGAATGCTCCATCCCTGGCAGTGTTCAAGCCCAGGTTTGATGGGGCTTGGAACAACCTGGTCTAGGGTGAGGCATCCCTGCCCAGGGCAGGGGCTTGGAACTGGATGATCTTAAGGTCCTTTCCAACCCAAACTATTCTATGATTCTATGGTTAGGGACCTCCTGCCTAACCATCCCCATCACGCACTGCTCACTCACCCTCTGCCTCCCAGACTGGTGGGGTCCAGCAAGGTGTGGGGCACAGCTCTGGGGCAATACTTCCAAGGTGCATGGTTTTCCCCAGAAACCAAACTGGAAAACCTACAGTAAGACCCTCCTGACCTCCAGCTGCTCTACCTGGAGGACACACATGAACAGGACCATGGAGGAAAGCAAGTCATGGTTTTAGCTATAGCCCCTTATCCAGACAGATGCTTTCCTGCCTCTCGCCACAACTGCACACTTGGGTCCTGCCAAACAGCAAACTGCACACGGAGGCTATCCAGCAGAGGAACAGCAGGAGAGCATATGATTATGAACATGTAATTATGGGGTTACACACAGATTGGGCAGGTTCTTAAAAGACACATCACAGATGTACACTGATTCACAATCTAGCCTCAGAAACAGCCTGGGCTACCCCTGCTCTGTGGGTACACCTGAGAGGAGACTTGGCAGGTGGTTTGCAGGGAAAAACAAAGGGCAGTGGTGCCTTTGAACTGAGGAAAGCCTTTTGCCTCGCTTATGTTCGGGTTTTAAGCATCCATTGCTTGTTCCTCATGGGGATTGCCCTTAACTCAGCCTGTAAATTGAAGCTGGCTCAGCAATTAGGGGTTTGGTGAGTGGGTTTTTCCATTTCATGATGACAAAGTGGAGCCCCTTCCAACCAAAAAGCAAAAGCTGCTTGGTAAGATGTCCTCTGGGAGAAGCTTCCTTTTGGGAACTGCCTGCCCTGCCAGCCCCCCTGAAGGATCTCAGGCTTGTTTGGTTTGGGGCAATGCCCACCAGCCTCTGACAGCCTTTGGAAAGGGACTAGGGTGCAATCATACCCTGAGCTGTGGGCTGCTTCTGGCTTTGGAGGTGAGGCTGTCACCTTGATTCTCTGTGATACCATATAGGTATGATACAACTTTTACACCCACAGAAGTCGTTAGCAGATAAAGCCACAGATCCTGTGTTCTAGACTGGTAATGTATACTAAGTGGGTGACCTAAATTATGTATGTTTATAAAAGGATTCCTCTTTTCTTCCCCTAAATTGGTGTTTTGGATACTCCTTAAGGAGTGTAAGGGAAACCCTTCTGGAAGTAGCTAAACACTCCTCCTCGGCCTAAGATCTTGGTGTTAAACATCAAGAACAGCCTCTGGGTCAGTGTATTCTCGGGAGGATCCAGGAGAGCCCCCAGGGCTTTTCTGGGTACAGATGGCTCTGTCTGCTCCCTGGGAGCAGGACCAGTCCGAGGGAAGGTCTCGCTGACCAGACTGATGCAGTTGGAGTCACCAGGGAGAAAGGGCTTTCTCGTTCAAACACACACACAGAGGTGACCAGGGCAGGACAGCAGCAGTCACAGTGCTGGGGGACCTCATCCCTTCCTGCACTTTTCATTTCATAAAGGGGAAAGGAAGATCCTAACCCATGAGGCTCTTCCAGATGTGTCACAGGGCCCACCCCAACCATCTCCCAGCCTGCTGTGTTTCTGATGGGCTTGCAGAGCTCATCCTGTGGCTCTTTGTCCCTACAGTCCAATGGCCTGCAGAGGCATTAGCAACCCCAGCGTGGATAGGAGAAGTCAAGGGGGGGTGAGTGCACTGTACTTACTTGCGAGAATGACCATGTCCATCCCCCAAAATATACTCATAATCCAGCCAACCATCACGATCGCAGTCAGGATCTGAATCAGAGCAGCAGCAATGTTCAGCCAGAACACACAACACATGTGCCTGTCGGGGAGGTCAGTCCGGGCTCCGCACAGCACGGTGAAAGCGGATACAAACGTTCCTAGGGAGAGAGCAGCAACAAAACACCCAGTGAAAGCCACGGCTTCATGCCAGATTCCTTCCCTTAGACCCACTTATAGCATCCCGCTCCTTGTGCTCCCACTGCAGTGCTGCGAACACAGGAGGGCAGAGGCACAGCCACATCTCACTTGAACACACTACTTTCTCCCATTGAATCACACCGATACGAACCAGGACAGAAAATAAGCTCTTTGGGTTTTAGCTCCTTGCTCCTCACCCAACAGTAACCACTCATGCACTGTAGGCAGGTTACAAGGGACTGATGTGTTTGTGGAAATACCAGTCTGCCTTTTTCTTTGCCTGGTGGGTCTCTCTTGGGGTATTTACTACACAGAAGCTCTACAATGGAAAATTGCACCAGAGTTAAGAGCAGGACTGGCTCTAGAAACCCGTGCAGGTCTGTCAGTCTGTTACTGTCCACAGATACTGCTCTGGAAGGAGCACACAAAGTAAAAGGGATGCTAATGCGGCACTGCATCTCTGCACAATGCCTTCCCCAGTCACAAGTCACCTGAGAGCATGTTTAAACAAAGCAGGAGTAGCTAAAACAAGGCTGGAGCCATAAAGCCAGGCGGTTTGGTGTTGCAGCCTGTGGCTCTGCTTGAAACCAACATAACAATCACCCTTTGGACTTCCTGTGACAATTCAGATGAAAGGATCTTGTTGATGTATGGAAGTTAAAGTAGGGGAGGAATCCACACCACAGCAACCTTTGCAAAGATTCTTCCTATATGTACCAAATATACTGATCATCTATTTGCAGGTGATGTCCTGAGCCCATGGCAAGCCGAAACCTGCAGCCCGGGGAAGCTTTGTCTGTCTCACAACCAACCTGCAGAAATACACAGGTGAAGAACAGAAGAGACTGTTTCTGACCCCTACAGTGTGAGAGCTGCTGGCCAGGAGGTTCAGTCACAATGCATGCATGCATTTCAACACTTCTTAACATTATGAACTGTCTTTGGGGTTTTTATACAAACACCGTATTGCTAGGGCAGGTACAAAGGTGCAACGTGGATTGTACTGGATAGCCTGGTTCTGTGAAACGCTTTCTTTAATGAATGTCTAGAATTAAAAATCCTGCAGCACAATGTCCAGTGGTTTCTACAAGCATTACCCCTTTTCCTGTCACAGCATGAAAGCCTGCAAAAGCCCTGTAAGATGTGACTGCATGCGATCTTCAGTCCCCGCAAGCGCCTTGTTAAACTCGGAGGAAGGAGGGAGTCCCTTGGTTTAACTGAAGATGGGGAGGCAACACTCAGTTTAAACCTTTCTAGAAGACCTCACCAGACAGAAAGAGCAGAAGGACCTGATTAGGAGCAAAATACCACTTCATCCTGCACTGCCAGGGTGGTGGAGGAGGTAATCTCTTCCATTGCTTTATCGCCTTCAATAGGTCACAAGGATACCGGGCAATCAAGATGCTGAAATGCTGGTGAAGGCTGGCTACAGCCTGGTTTTAATCTCGCCATCCTCTGCAGGCTTCAGCTCCAGCATCTTCCCAACACTCCACCAGCTCCTGAAACCCATTCATCTTCCTGCCACTGGCTCCATCTGCTCCTATGCTCCCTCCTGCTCTCTTTGCTACCTGGAGCAGCACCAGGGCAGAGGGGAATGGGGGAGCGCTGCTGGGGTGCTGGGAGGCAGCTATATGGCAGGGAGAGGGGCAGCCTCTTCTCCCATGGATTTCCATGTCTTTTGTGTCCTCCGTTTGGCTTTATGTGAGATCTCTGCCCCACTTCACATATTTTTTCCCTTACAGTTTCTCCAAAGCAGAAGGAAGCCTGGAACATTCCCCCATGCTTGTGATATCGTTGTCTGCAAAAGTTACACCACAGCACTCTCTGAGATTAAATATGGATTGAGGCAAGATCAGAGACTGCGTGTTTACATTTTCCCATCAGGATACAGAATCTTGCCAAATGGTAAATGAATGTCTCTTTTTGAAATGAGAATGAAAACCTTTCCCTCTTGCCTTACTTTTAACTCTTCCAATATGTTATGACCAAAAAAAAGGCCATAAATGAGCAATAATTCTTAAGCTACAGTTTCAAATCCTTCCAGTGAAGCTTTTAAGATTTTTACATCATTAGTGAGCTGCTGAATTAGCTGATTAATCCCCTAAGCACCACAGTGACTAAGCTAACGGCCAGTCCCATTCAGAAGGGAATAAAGCAAACAAAGCAGTTGAGGGTCCTTCCTTGGACAGGGAACTGACATAAAAATTAGGATTAAAATCCCATGGACCTTGGTTTACGATTCCCCCTTCAGGCCATTTTCCTACTCATGGGAGCCAATTCATTTTCTGTATTAACTATGATTAACTTTGGGAGGGTGTTGGCATTTTTAAATACAAGGCTTGAGACATGCCAGCAGGCATAAAACAGGAGGGGGTTTTTGCTCTAGTTCACATATGCTTTAAAATGTGAAGCAGAAGAAAGACTCTGAAATGCATTTGCCAAGGTAGATGTTTTCCCCTTAAGAAGCCACTGTAGTCACACATTGCCGAATATGGAAGCATTTGCATCTGGAAGCAGAGAGGTGGAGAGGAGGAGGAGGAAGGCAAGCAAGCTGGATCTGCTGATAGCTCCTGACTGCGTCAGAGCTGGGCCACCAAACCATTTCCCCTCCTGTCCAAGCATTCAGACCCTTGAATAGCTATGGCCTGGAAATCATAAACTTGGTATACAAACTGCAGCTGGGATGATGCTGGCCAAATAAATCAGCTGCCCCCAAAGGTCTCAGGCTGCGAGTGTAACCAGCAAACACACAAACTGCTGACATTGAAAGCAGATCTAAACTGAAAGCCCCCATATGCCAGTGTAAGTAATTTATAGCAAGCGTTTCTTGTATCTTCCCAATGAAAAATACCCAAACCACAGTAAAATCTGGGATTATTTTATATCACAGTAATTAGCACAGGGAGGGCGGGAGCTGAGGTCTGTGCTTCGGGAGCAGCTTCAGGGCCAGGCTGGGAGGCAATGGGAATCCGAGCTTACTCTTTTGACTCATCTCATCTCACATGGGGCAGTGTCAGACAGCTGAGGCATCCACACAGGGCTGGGCAAAGAAAGAGAGCCCCTGGGAGCCTGTGTTTGCTTTTGCTGTCAGCAGAATTAGGGTATTTTTAGATTACACCATAAATATGGAAGGCTTTTTGTCTCCAACAGTTTAACCCATTGAACATGAAGGGGACGTGTTATCTGCAGGATAACACTATGAAGAGAGAGACAATTTCTCTCCTCTCCGGTCTGTTGTCCTGCAGGACCAGTTCTCCTCTCTGGTGTATGCTGGAATGTGTGCGGATGTATGGATGTATGCATGGCCTTCCCAAGAGCATCGCCCACTCCTGGCCCCACGGAGTACATCAAAATAGTGCAAGAGGAATAGTTTGGGGTTCCTCTTGGAGGAAAAGCTCACACCCTGGAGAGAACCCTCCTGGGTCACAATGTTTGGGTCACTTATCCTGGGTGGAAGAAGACATGAGGTCAAGCCCTGAGCAGTCTCCTCCATGCTGAGCGCAGCAGTGACTGTGTTATGGAATATCTTAAGCTGCATGAGAAGTTTTCCTCTCCTTTTTGTTGTTTGCAAGAAAGCCCATCCTGGGCACTCCAGCAAAAGCTTCAGTCAGACGTGGGGCTTGGCACAGTTCATGTGCAGGACCCAGCTCTGAGCACGCTTCTGATGGCACCACCCCAGAAACATCAGAAGTGGTTGGAACCAGGGTGCAAAGCAGAGGGAGACGAGACACCGATGGCCACAGGGTAGGTGTGATTTGAGCACACAGACAACCGGTTAGTGGACCTCCCACTGACTATCAGATACCTGAAACTTCATAACAGCAAGCATCTGTGCTGCAAGGAAACCACGTCTGATGAGCTGTCCTGCTACAGGTGCAAGAACAGCACAGTCAGGGCAGCAGCATGTGCAGATGATGATGATGATGATGATGATGATCCCGATTCCCTAACCTACAAAAAACCTGGAGACAGGTTGGAGCTGGGAAATACCCCTTCCTCTTCCCATGAGCTTGGGGATCATTTAGGACATTATATAGTGCTGAGAATAAGGCAGAGGTGTGGTGCTTCCTTTCCTGCTCCCAGAGGGAAATTTAGGGCCATGTTATAACTCAGGAGTTGGAGCAAAGCTACAGGTAAGCATACAGGAATGAGATTTGAGGTGTCCGTGGGAGTAAGTCTGTTGGATCGACAGTGGGGGATGTAATTAACGTGTGTGTTTTGTGGGGAGGAGATATACCTGTGTAGCTGTATTGTGTCAGGTGGGTGCTCTGTGTGGGGACATGTCTGATGTGCCTTTGAATCTTTTTAAGTGACATGATTATTAGCTGTCACCGGTGTTGGCAGGTACACGAGGCAGATGTGGATGTGCTAGGTCTTGCTTGCCTGAGTCAGAAAAACTGTGTGAGAAAGGTGATAAGGGTTGTACTTATTTCCTCAGTCAATATATGGCATCTATTGGTCAAGACATTGTTGGTTCCTAAGGGCTGTGAACTCTTTTATACCCTAATTTGAGCTGTAGGGCATTGTTTCAGTGGTGGAAGCCTCCCATCCTTGGCATTAATCCATATGCTAAACTGTAGTCCTTTGGGTTATGATGAGGGAAAGAGAAGTACTAAAACTTGCCCAAGAAAGGGCTATAGCGGTGTTTGCTGATGCAGAAAAGGCTTCCCCTCTGCTTAGGCAGGTAGGACTGGGCTGTGAAAAGGGCACTGTTAACAACACAATGAAGTGAAGCTGCAAAGCATTAACACTGATTGTCTGCTGAAGTCTAAAGCAATTGCTTGGGTCTTTGCTTGAGAAAACAGCAGCAAAGTACAAGCCCCTGGCAGTGTTCTGGTCAGTGTGCGTCCTCACCAGTGCCTTGAGTCTCTGCTTGGCTGGAATTCACTAGGACTTAGACTGCACCAGAGAGAACCTGCTAGTGCAGATGTACCACCTAAACCCTCTGAGAGGGGAGCTT